GTTACAAAGGTGAGTTTGAAAATATACATTACCTCAGGGTTGTTAACATACATTTTCAGATGTAAAGAGGTAAAATGTAAAGTGTAAAAAAAAAAAGATCTAGCCTCAACTTCTTTCTGATGTTTCTATGTTTCTGGTATGCATATTACTGGGGGGTTTAACTTCTTTTTGGAGGCAGTGGCTACTCATTAGTCCCACATTTGTTGACGGTGGGTTTTGCCTCAAAAGGCCTTTTTCTTTCAGTCTTATAATTCTTATAATGAGAGTATTCACAAACAAAATGTGTTCATTTTCCACTGCATCTATCACTTTCCCATCTAAAGGAAATGTAATGCATAAGAATCTGGATGTATCACCCTCAGCTTGCCCCAAGGTAAAGATAATGGCCTCATCAATTTCTCTATCGTCACATTAATCAACGGCTATTCTTCAGAATTGGGTTATACAACCCCTGACATCTCCCAAGGTACCAAATTAGGCCGCATTATTTTCTTCCTCTGCACAAATGATACCCTTGTGGACAGCCCATTATATTAGACTACTAGGGCAGTGTGATCAAAGACTGGATACTACTTGCACTACCACTGGGTGTACACGTATGCAGCAATACTAGCGATAGCCCTTCCTAAACTTGCACATGTCTGATGTGTTTGGGAGTGGTAAGAAAAAAATCTGGACAAAAATACCAGAAGATTGGTACATGTAAGTCCATGAAATGTCATAAGTATACCTGACCAAATTTGGTGTAGCTACGAACCTAGTACATGCATGTCATGTAAATGCTGGTGTATGTTTGTGTTAGTAAAATAGTAAGTCCTTCTGGTGTATGTTTGTGTTAGTGAAATATTTAATAATGGGTAATTTCTTCCCCCTACTTGTTTTACTGGCTCAGTAATTCACATGTACATACAGGTAATGGCTGAGATTAACTTTGAAGGCTATAGCCATAGCTAGCATTGCTTGCCTATGCAAATTTTTGTCTGTTCCTTTTAGCACTCTATTATGCTCCTAATGTGCCAGATAACTGTGTACATGGCTGAATGCTATGGGAAACAGACTGTTGCTACACTGTAATGTAACTTTATCTATCAAATGATTGAATGCAGCCTATATATTTTGGACGCTGGTCACATACACAATACAATTGTTGTATGTCGTAAACCGTATGCGTTTTTAGGGTAGTAATGCATGTTTCCTGCAAAATCCAACCGTCTTGTTACAGAAAAGTCTGTATTAGATCTTTGTTGGCAGTTGGATCTGTCACAGTCTGCTTGAAAATTCTACGAGATCCAAGTCATTCAACAAATGTGACTGTGCCATTTCGTGGCACCATTCTTGGCATTTTTCAACACTAGCAATCGTGTTGTTATAGTATGTATCTCCAGAGAGTACTGATATTTGATAAGACTAGATCTGCATACATGTAACGTAGCCCTATCCATTTCAATCCTAGGTTGGGTAGCTGTGACTCCAGACAAGTGGACCACGGCCCAGCTGAGGGTGTACACACCAGGAGGTCTGGGCTTCTATCTGCGCCCCAAGTCTCTCCTCCCAAACGCCGTCAACTTCAAGGGAAAGAGGATGAAATCCGCGTCTTCTCGTGCATTCTACCGTCCTATTGCAGTACAGAGAGTCAAGGACATCTCTCGAAAATATAAGTAATGAAACACAGATACAATGTAGTTGTATTTTCAAGTAGAATTTTTGGAACATAGAAATTGTATACAGCCTACAAAATTTAAAAGTAAAGTATGTTCAACAAATACAGCAAGCTGTATTTCATATTAAAGATACAATTTTTTATATGATGGGGTGAATTCTTTACTGTGTATGTTTCTGTTCCAGAGGGTGTCTTTTGATAATTTTCACCAAGAAAATTACATTTTGGGGCTTCTTTGCAATCTTAAGCAAAGAAACCTAAAAGTATCCGTGAAATTTAGTAATATACATCATATGAATTTGTACATGCATTTCTATTGAATGCTTACAATCCCTGAAGAAATGAGTACATATACATGTGTTTCTAACACAAGTGGCTTTGTAGTGTTGATGAAGCTTTTATGTTGGCAAGAAGAGGCTGGCTTTATAGAAGCAAAGAGCCTTCTTGATTGAATACTTTAACCCTCCTTGAGTGAATACATGCAATCAATGAGTTTTTATGAGAAATGTGGTGTTGATGTAAATTTTCCATGAAGCATTGAACTCCTCAATCTCAGTGAGTGGATGATGTTTTTGACCCAGGGAGAACAGATGCTGTCTCAGATCTATCCGATGACTTGTAATCTGTAACCTTGAAGTGGACTTCTGGTCTTGTTACGTGTTTTTTTTTTTTAAATTTCACCTAAAGGCCTTATTATACACAATCCCTCTGAGTCTGTTCCTGTCAAAATCATGTAACATTTACCACATAGATTTTTGTCTTACCTGACCTGCTCTCTTCTAACCTCAATCAAAAGAATCCAGCAGACCAATTTGAGTATTTCATATGTATCTGTATCAGTATAGCCGGTATAACCGCCCTTCGGCATAACACAGCATGAATAAACAATGGTTCAATAATTGAATTTTTTTGTAAAATAAAAAAAATGGCTGGTGAATTACATATTTGTCAGTACCATCGCGCGTCTCTGTCTCCAAGAAAGGAGGAAATGACGCGGGTTTTAAAGTATGGCGTTTGAAGCTGTTTGAAAGAACATAGCCGCTTGTACAAAGGGAGTACCTGAGGCTACAATAAGTCCACTCCATTCCTTTGATTTCAGCACGCTTTATCTCACTGTCATGTTATCAAAGTGATTTCTTTTATATTTTGTTATTATTCTTTAGTATTTGACATTTAATCTCGGACCTGTCGGTGAGCTGCCAGGCCTGATGCCTGAAGAGGGCAGCCTGTGGTCACGTTGTGGGGCACGGGAAGAACCACTTCACCTTCTATTTACAACTAACTATATGTAACGTTAGTCTATACCCAAAAGCGTACTACAAAATGTAACTGGTATAATGGTTCTCATAGACATGAGTCACGTGATGGTGTCCATACTGTCTCTAATTAGGTACTTACTTCGCATCTTCATCACATCCAACATAAAAAAGACCCACTTTCTACCTTCTAATCACAACTAACTATGCAATGTTGGTGTATGCCAAAACATACTCTAAATGCTCTTAAGGACACAATATGTGGCAGGAATCATGGTTCACAAATACATGATGGCGTCCATCCCTTGTCTCTAATCACTCTCTTGGCATCATTCACACGGACAAGAACCACTTTCTCCCTTCTAATTACATCCAACTGAGCTTGAGCAGTGTTTAGTCACGGTATGCGAAAATATTTATTTATTTATTTATTTTCCGTCATTTTTATACAGGGTAACCCAATTCAGTGATGGCACTGCTTTTCAACGGGGCCCTGTATTACACAGCACAATACAACAATCACATACAAATAATAACATTAGCATACAAAAATTATACAATAAATAATTATAATGGCAATGATAATAACGAAAACAATAAATAAATTATAATGGCAATGATAATAACGAAAACACAGTAATTAACCAATAACAGTAATAAATAGTAATAATAACAAATAGAAATATAGTCCAGATGCTCGATATGTTGTCGTGAGCATCAATTTCTATCGTTTTCTCTCGTGAATGTCAAGGTCGACATGAGGTCCTTGTTGATGCCAACTTGCACAGCCTGCACGTATGTAGTGCATGGATGTATATAGGTCAGCGTCTACTAAAGGTTCTTGGCCTCAACAGCCTGACTAAATCGCGCTCCCCTGCTGGCCGGATAGAAACTTTAAGATAACTGCAGTCAAGTGCTGTAAAGGGCAGCCAAAGTCTGGTATTAAAGGCATAATGTCAGAGTGAAGGGAAGAATCAACGTGGCGATTACAGACACGTGTCGATCCACGGGAAAGGTGCATAATCAGCCACATAATCTGTTTAGTTATATCAGAGTACTATGTAATGACTTGCACAGAATAGCACACGGGTACCTACTTGTATATAGTAGGGTCAACCATGCTTCAAATGACGTTTTCGGCTTCGATACTTTGCGAAGTATCTCACATTCTATTGAGAGCAATTTAAAGCGCTTTCAAATTGATGGTTACGATAAATGAGGCTGCGACTAGCGATTCCATCAAATTTCTTTGGTGGATGATTTTTGGCAGACAACTTTCAATGGGACAGCAATAGACTTGCTCAAGCCTATACATAAATCTCATTTAGTATACATAGATTTAGTTTGGCTACATCTGACAGACTTTGAAGAACACCCTCGTGCGGTCTGATCACGTTGATTGGCGAGCATTTTACGCCGTCTGCGTACATCGAGGCAGTGACGTCAGTCTCACGACCAAACCTTATTGGCCCCGCGAGTCTTGACGTTTTTACCGTGAGGCGCGCTGGACTGGACCTAGGCTAGAGACTTATCCTGTACATCTCACTCCCAGCCGCACACCGCACCAGTCATGGACGCCTCTCCCAGCTCCTGGCTGCCCGGCGGGGAGTTCTTCACGGACAGCCCGGAGAACTCCAGCGAGTGGCCCGGGACGGACGGACCGACCCAAGAGATTTGTTCCGAGGACGAAGTTGTCATAGGCTACCATGCCTACCTTGCTGTCGCGATCTATCTCACCCTTCTTGGTAAGTTAGATTAATGATTACAGTTGCGGCTCAGACCTGTCTGCCTTATAGAAAGCCTGCCGACCGTGGTTTCTGAAATGTCTGTGTACGGGTATAACGTTAACGTATTACTTCATGGTAATATCGTATGAATGACGAACTTTATTGCACATTTTGTCACACTGGACTAAGTACAGGTCACAACAAAACATGATGAACAGATACAGTTAAGGGTACACAATAAGACTAAGTATCGTTAAATAAATCCAACTTCTGGCTTTTCAGTTATAGTAACGTTACAGATAAAAGAACAGATATGTTCTGGTGGAAGGTTTGCCTAGTTGCATTAGGAGTATGAATTTTTCCACGATGCTTGAGTGTATGGATGATTGGGTAACGACATCGATATGAGTGTCGGGGATTGCGCTCTCCCGTCGTGGATTGAAAATTTTGCGTTTCATTTATGTAGTGAATGGAATCATTAGGTTTTCGCTTTCCACCGCGCAGTGGAAAATTACTGACACTCTCGCCCACAGCATTCTTCTGTCAACTACCATTTTATCGCAGTTGATCTTACCTACTTGGACGAAAAGGGAAGGAACATTTGTCAATTCAGCTCTTAGTGGAAAGGATTTAGTGTAACAGTAAGGGCTTATCGTTAGGGGCTCTGCTAATATATAAACTAATTAGAAGGGCACCCAAGCTAAAACTGGCGCTTGCGAGGTTTTTTTTTTTGTCGTTGGAAAGTATGACTAGTATGGTACAAACCTCAGTTTTACAGTTCTGGCGTATTCACCACAATGTGGAGACTATCAACTTGAAGATTATTTCATGTTTTTTCCTCTATTTCCCCATAGGAAGACTAAGCTGTTAATGGACAGGATCAATGTGATATACAACTCACGCAATTGGCTCATTATGTCAAATGTCAAATGATTTAGTGATGTGAATGCTCAACACCTAAGCATAGATTTTTGCTGGCAAGAGCAACAGGAAGAACGTGGCTTGCATGTTAGGATAATTCTATGCTACTCTCTGACTGTAATGCATAGGTGCTTGGAGAGTCCTCTAATAAGAAAGGATGAAGTGTAATCAAACTACTCGCACAAGGAGTCACCAGGGTATAAGCCCTGATTATCAAAAGGCGTGCGTTGCTTTTTAATAAATTGGACGCAAAGGCATCGTCAGAAAATTTACCCGTAGATTTTCACGGTATCGACGCGTATGTTTCCATACTTTTATATCCACACTTTGCAATTGAAGCCATTGAGAAACAAAACGGTATGGCCCGGGTTTTCATACCATTGTGCTATAGATAGGTGATGCAGAATCTAGTGGAACGCCATAGAACATTCCCAACAATTCAGGATCAGAGACGATACCCTTGAATAATCCTCAGTACACTTACGGTCTTCGTCACGATACTTCACTGGACGTGACTTCAGCACCAAGGACAGTATTGTGCTATATATTGTGGACAGCAGGGCTAGCTGCTTAAAAGCCCCTTCCTTTCCGTTAAATTGTGCGGTCCATGGGTAGCATGTAAAGCTCATAATATTTTCAAGCAAAGAATGTTTTAGATTCTGCAAGGAATAGTAGGGTATACTTTGAAATAAAAATAGTAGTAATGATAGTAGCCGTTTATTACTGTTTATATACTGTATCTCGTTAAGAAAAGTCGATACAACGTCAACCGTACCAGTGCAGTTGTTTGTATCAACAGCTAGTTGTTTAGAATCAGCATTCTATCTACTGCCTGACTCCGTAACCAATAGAGAATCGGTGTCCAAGCGGCTACATCAGTGTGCTAATGGTTAGAATATCTGAAAAGATTACGAATGACTTAAGTATATCGTAGCGGGTAACTCGGGCAAGGTTTTGGTGGATGGAACACAACAATCTATAGGCTTTGAAGGATCTTTATAGCCGGGAGCGGCAATACGACTTTAATACTCCTCCCAGAAACCGTAAAGCTTGTCACTGTAACACCTGCTAGGACCCACAAAAAATCCTAAGTAAAGGTCGGATCTCTCACAATGTGTACATGTAATTTCCGGTCATAAAACACGAGGATCTTATGATTTTTTTTACATTTCAGGAATAGTATCTGTTGCCGGGAATGCCATGTCCATCATCGTATTCGTGACAGAGAAAGAGTTCCGTAAAAAAGAGCACAACAGTCTTCTCTTGAACATGGCCATAGCTGACTTGGGCGTCAGCATCTTTGGATATCCCGCCTCCACCGTGTCAGGTGAGTGGGGGAGGAAAGCATTCTGCCTTGTTACATGACCGAATGTACAGAATACGTTCCTCAGTAAGATTTACCTTCTCACAGAGGCCACGAGGCCAGCTCGTACGAAAAAATGATGAAAACTGCTGAATAGTGGAAAAACAGGCTTTTCACAACAAAGACACTTCATAATTATCTGCCCTTTCCATTTAGGGTCTGGTCAGAATCATCGAAAGATTGTCGTGTACAATTGAACATTAATGTGATAGTCGTGCATGTGTTGTACAAGATTCAGCTATATTGTTGCCCAAACGCTGTCTCAGATTCTCGTCGGCGGTTGTTTAGTCCAAACAGCCTGGCCGGCCCTCATGGCCCTGGCATAGAATTGTGACTGCAGCATCACAGAGGGAGTTTGTTTGATTTATAGGGTTCGCAGGAAGATGGGTGATGGGGGACGGGTATTGTCCTGCATATGCGTTCATCTGCTACACCTTCTCTATGGTCACCATGATCACCCTGGGTGCCATCAGCGTCTACAGATACATCGTCATCTGTAAACCACAGTATGGTAAGGAAAACACCAGTACTGCTAAGCTTAAACTAGCCTGAAATCCAGCCTATCGTGGATTTGGGCCGTCAAGCTTCGTTGCTATAAGAGCTGTTCTCCCCCACCTGACCTACTAGGATATTGCGGAGGGCAAAACCAGTGCCGGTTAGCTAGTTGGGCCGGGCGGTTGAGAGCTTACACGGCACTAAAGAGCCCATCCACGACAGGCTGGATGAATGCAAGGCCACTAGACTACACTCACTTTGGTGCTCTGACGTATATCGTGCTATAGTGGCTTCGTTGAAGTGAATGATATAATCGTGCTCCAAATGCAAATGTGTTGTTCACTGCCAGTAGCACAGTTGCATGTTATATCACCGTGGTTCCAGAATTAGGTCGTCTGAATAAGCTCTATGTGAAGTTATGTCTCTATGTTGGATAAGGTGGCATCACAGCGTAATAGATTGAATACCTTGTACAATTTGCCTGGGCTAGAAAGTCTCCACAACCTGTCAATGATATTTCAGGTTCTCTTTCACGTTTAGTTCTATATCGACATTTCGTTCGGGTTTGTGTAATCCCATCTTAAACCAGCAAGCTCCAACTCTGAAAACGAACACTGTGTATTTGCTCCCAGCCCATCTGCTGACCCATCGCAGGACCATGTATGTGATCCTCGGGATCTGGCTGTACGCCCTGACGTTCACGGTCCCTCCGCTAGTCGGCGTCAACTACTACACCTATGAACCGATCCGTGAGTAACTTCAAACTGAAATTGTACATGAGCCTCTAGTTGTACGAGCCTTTATTTTGTTGCTACAGTCATTCGTATCTTTCTGATTGCGTGGTATTAAATGACGAAAACTTAAAATTCAAACTTTGTTTTTCTAGAGCGACAAATACATGTTAAAATGCAAAGCATTCAAGTTATTAGGACGTCATTGGCATAGAATAATAATTAGAATATAGATAAAAGCCACAAATTCCTTAATGTGGCTTTTTGGCCGTTTATGCCATAAAATGAGTTGCATCCAACGCTTCGTATTGACAAAATCACCAAAGTTCTCTCATAAATTCTTGATAAATCTTGTCCGCAAACCAACTAACTGCTTGAGATGGCCATGGGTACTAACGAGGTTGCCACGCCTTTCAGGAATCATCTGCTCCCTGAACTGGAACGTGCAGTACCCGGGAGAGATCGCCTACACCGCGTACTGCATCATCTTCGGCTACGTCATCAAGGTCGTCATCATGGCGTACTGCTACTTCAACATCCTCTTCAAGTCGATGAACCTGAAGTTTGGCGCTCTGGCCAGCGAGAAGGCCAAGAAGGCTGTGAAGAAAGACATCATGAAGGCCTCGCTGGTAAGTCAGAGTTAGAGCTACATGTAGTCTTTCTCGTCTTCTTAGCGAAATACTATCTGAAACATTCTCACCGGGCAACTGTAGGGGTGCCTAGAACTGGTTTCACGGGAATTCTAGGCAACGGTACTGCCTATAATTTTAGATGCCCATTCACTTTGGTATCGGTCAGTGATCATACACGCGTGATTGTATCCAACATGTTATTAGGAACATGTTATATGTGTATGAATTCTGCACGCCATTCTAATGCAGCTGCATATATTTCAAGCAAGATACTGAGAAAATATATTAAAGCTATAAAGACGTACGGGTCGTTTTTTCTGAATCCCACAGATGTGCCTGACCATGGTGGTGTCCTTCCTGATCGCCTGGACCCCGTATGCCGTGTCCTGTACCTGGGACATCCTGTCTGAGGAAGATCTGCCCATCATCGCCACAATCCTGCCCAGCTTGTTCGCCAAGTCGTCCTGCATGATGAACCCCGTCATCTACGCCTGCTGTAACGGCAAGTTCCGCCAGGCGGCTGCAAAGTCCTTCCGCAGGCTCGGCTGTATGAATAACCAGGTAAATCCTCTGAATACCGTGCCAGTGGTGCGCGGGAACAGGTGCCCTGCGGCAGGGCCTGCCGAGGAGGGCATGGCCATGAAGTCCGTTCCACCCAGTGCTGCGGCCACGGTCGACAGGCAATCGACTTCTTGTTAGAAGGGTAATAAATGGTTTATTTGACATTTCATACGCACTTATCACACTTGCAGGCCTAAGACTGAATTATGGTGATATGTATTATATAATATAAAATACGGGTAGCAGTGGTCTGGGTACTGCATCACCAGTTGAGCTGTTTCCACGCGTTGGCATAATGAAAATTTGCTGCGTTTGGCAGAGGTCGGAGCTATGCTCAAAAGTATTTCTGCTCTGCCGAATCCTTCGTACAGATTACTTCATAGACCTACATAGTGGCCCAGATGGCCGAGGATATGGCATTCAACAGATGCTGCAATTTCTTTTTACAAGATAAAAACTAAAATTATCATCCTCGAATGAAGAGGTTTTCAGATATTCTAAACAATGAATAGCTGGGTAGAGTACTAGTATACAAAAATGTTGCATTATTTGATAACGCAGCTAATCTCATGTACTAAATATGACCTTCTACACCCACGGTTGTTTACTCCCGCGGCCTGCGGCGTCATCGACGTCACTCGGCGCTGCAAACCTCCGGCTGTTGTCTTTGATATCTGTTCCGATGTTCGAGAGTGTTCTCGCGCTAGCTCCCTTTGATCAAGGGGTGGGCAAAGAGGAGATCAAGCACACAGTTCGTCATTTGTAAAAATAAAATAAACAAGGGAAATCGTAGATTTCAAACCTCCGGGTTTTTTTGTGTTCTATTGGTTTAGGTTATTTGTTTGTGTGTAGTATGAAAGTTATGTGCGTAATATGTTTGTATGTGTTTGATGGCTACTGACGGTTGGTTCGGTATGGACTGTTGATTAACGTGTCTGACAGTCTGCACCGTCACCCGCGCCATTACCCCCGCCGTCATCCCGCGCCGTCATTGCTGCGCCGTCACCCAAAATTTTTATCGGAACCAGACACCCCTCTGTTTGACCCCTTTTGAATGCTAAGACCCAAAACTGCAACCGCCCCATTCCTTAACAACATGGTAATTACCATTTTCAGCATGGCGGGGGTGTCCGGAGCACTTAAAAACCTTTTATTTCGACGCCCATAAACACATATGCAATTAAACAAAAACGTTCTGCATCATCTGCAGCCCAACAGCAATACGTATACCGAACCACAGACAAATCCTTGTTAATTCTTTGTCACCACCCTTGTAAGTAGTGTTGTTATGATTTCTGTTATTGTTTATTTTGTTTATTATCTATGTAATCCTTATCAGTTTATATTGGTGGGGGCATTAAAAAGGAGTGTTCCTGTTTCCCCCAACCTTTTTACATGTTGTTGTAAATAAAGCTGAAATAAATAAATAAATAAATAAATGAATAAATCCGTCCAGCCGATCGCGAGAAACAGCTGCTGACAGAAATGTTTCGAACCATAGCAAAACCTCCTCGCGGAAGGATATCTCCTTCCCCGGAGGTAAAAACTTGACCGCCTCCTGTCTGTTCCACGGCTCGGGCTTTGTAAGCCATTAGACACTAACAGCACAGAACATTACGTTTTGTATTTCACATCTACTGACACTATAATTAAAACATATTTGCAATCACATGCGAGGACATAACACATAACACATCACACACAGAGCACCCGATGCTAGGAATTCACGTGCGTGTGCACGTGCGTATGCCAGTATAAATGAACAAACGAATAAAATTAAGAAGAATATACAACAATAAATATAATACAACAACTGTACAGGGTTCAATATGTATTGCAAACAACAACAAGCATCATTTTCAGAGATTGATCTCTATGTGACATACATTGATGAGCCTTGTATAATATGTACAATAAAATATTATAGGTCACATTGATAACTTTAAATTTGTATATCTATGTTTGTAAAATTGTAAAACAATTATGTTTGTAAAATTGAAATTCTGTAACTGAAGTCATTGCTGATATTTTTTGTGGATAGATGTGTTACTTAGATTTTTGTCGCTTAGGCCTTCCTCTACCTCGTAAACATATCAAAGCGTGAACAAAACAATTGGCCGTCTGACAAAATCTTGTTCTTATATGCTTTAGTCCTAGCGTTTTTGGCAGTATTGACGTAATTTGGCTCGACTGATTGCTGTCATTATGATGTAATTCCTAAGCTAAGTGTGGTCAATTACTGGTTGAGTCTGGTGCTTTCCGTATTTTGGTAACGTGTATAGTATTTGTTCCGGTGTACTGATCATTCTGTCAGATAGATTCTGTAAACAGTTGTATGCTATGATGTGAAATGATGTATCATATGTGCAAGGCCATTGATATGTGTAGTGAGCATAGCGTCAAAATATACTTGATTATGTAAATTTTTGACATTCAAATCACTGTGTGATATGAAACAGTATGTGTCACTTATGTTTTGCTTTTGATTATTTTGCTGGTTCCGATCAATTTAATGTTTCTTCTTCACATATCATGCACTCGGATTGCTAATTGATTTACCAGTGTCTGTTCAAATAAATTTCGACTGGGTAAGCAAACGTGGTTCCGGATTTTCCCCTTTGACAGCTGGTCTTATGGACAACCACTGAAATCACGTCCTTCTACAAGTACAAGTCCCCACCGGATTCTCGGGGTTGCTGAGAAAATAGTAGGGAATGTAACCCTATGACTTGTAACCCCCATGAAATCCCCCTATTCTACAAATTTCTATTATTTTCTCAGCAACCCAAGCCATGTCCTCTTCTGCGTAAAGCGAAGGCATGATTTAGCCTACTGAAGTATCCTACTTTAATGCCCCGCAAATCGCAGGGAACGCTTATTATCTCTAATTGATAGCTGAAGAAATATCATAGGGTCGAATTCAACAGTCTCAGTCAAAATCAAAGTCTTGCGTAATTCATAACAAGATGACAGACATGTTATGTAAAGCGTAGCTCCACTCTTGAATTCAGTGTCTCTTCCGGCCTGAATTTATCTTAAAGCGTTGTCAGGGAAAGGCTGATGGGAACTATTTTATCTACATGTACTACTAGCATGTTACAACGTTCGCCAGATCAGGCTGCATTAATAGTGGGTCGAGTGTAGCCTCTGCTCCATAACCACTTACTATTCTGCGCTGATTAGCTTGCGAGTGAAAGCTTGAATTATACTCTCCAGGCAGATATCTTCGGGCCAGATCCAGTTGAAACCAGCTGCAGGCGAGCAGTAAGCTCTCGTCGCAAGCTTTTCACCTACTCACAAACGGCCGAAATGTGCCACAGTGATTAGATTTGAAAGGTTTGCAGCTTTCCTCCTTTCTGTGGTCTTAATCCCCGAGCAGATCCTACGGTGTCAACGCAGGTTACTAGTACTTTGGTCTCTAGGCCATTAGCCAATGGTCATTCCTTTGGCCAATGGTTATATGCCAAGGTAAGCCTTGCCACCGTAGGATCTGCTTGGAGATTATGTGGCCAGGCCAACATAGTGCTTTGCCCCGGAGGAGATCTGCTTGGAGATTACTTGAATTATGTTTCTTGCTCATGTCTTCACATACCTTTTACCAAAAGGTGGCACTTGAAAGCTACCGTATAGCATGAATTAGATCGACTTCAGAAGTACGCAGTAGTAAGTGTGTACCTGTTACTGCTGATTTGATTTCAACCCCTGTAGTACACTGAATCTAATCTTCTGAGATATTGTTAGTGGTCCAAACTACAAACCGGCCTAGATAGAGATCAAAGTACACTTCTGGTCTTCTGGCGTACATGTATTCCACTTACATGTAGCTGTTGTACCGTGCACGGTTCGCTTGTCAAACATCTGGAAGTTTTGTCAATAAAGTATTTTCTTTGAGTAGGGTCCTTCTGTATCTTTATTTATTTAACAAATGAACAAATTTTATTCCTCGCAAGATGCATTGGTCTCTTCATTTGTGATTGAGATGAATCGCCACGCGACCAGGTCCATTAACATGGCACATATGTAATTGTACACACCCTCCTAATTAAGGAGATGTAGCATCTGATTCATTTTCTCCTTCTATGATGTTCTCCTCGATGAAATTATCAACAGGAACATAAAAGCAGGCTTCCGCTGATCACTTTGAAATACGATGAAAGCGAGCGGCAATGAGGTCCGCGGGTTTTATTTGATCCAAATCACCAAGCAACAAATCGGCTTGTTACGGAACATCAAGGTTTTTAAAAGGTTTAAAGCTGATATACAGCAGATGAAAGCTTTCTTACTGCAATCAGTGTACATGAGACGCGCATCCTTTAGGCAAAATTGATCTGACAAAGGAATGGTTCTTTCATTTTATTTCGATGTGATTTTCTTGACCAATCAGACCGAACGTTGAAAGAACATGTGAGGATAGTCAGAATAAAGAATGGCACCCGGCCGGTTTCCGACTAGGCCTTAGGCATCAGAATATTATGAACATGTTTTTCGACTGATGTTGGCCGACTAACCGGAAACACAACACTTTCCCCTGGCCTTATGGTATCAGATTCATCGAATTTGAGGTCGTGTTTTTTCCAGATTCCCTTCAAAGATTTCTTGAAATCCGATTACAACAAAGGCGGGAGAAATGAGGTTTGCTCCAGATGAGAAGACTTTGTGATCGAGTGATCTGCAGAAGAAGAGAGCAGGGAGGCTGCAGTGTAAAAACATCCCTCAATCAATTCTGTAAACTATCAGGGTTCAGTATGAAACATGTCGTTCGCGTGATGCCAGAGGCTGGGCTAAGGCACTGTAGAGTACCGAGTAATGCTGAATGACGTATATTAATGCAGCCGTACTTTGATATGGTAAACCGACTTATTAGACAGCTATAGAGCCTCCTGACTAGGTGATTGATCAAGCTACCGCAAAACACTGAATTTTATCTTCGTGACCTACATAAAATTCCCTCCATCTTTCAGACTGACATGTTAATTCTCCAGTCAGCTAGCTGTCTTTTTTACATAAATGCTACAGTAAGCAATTGTCACTGAGAGTTCAACAGGAAAAGGATTACAAAAGGGTTACTTACAACGGATGTTTTGGTTCCAATTCTAATGGCACCCAAATGCTAACAAAGGTGAGAATAAAGAACGGATTGCCAATGATGAGAGGGTAAGTGTAGATAAGTGCTGCAAAGGGCAAGGAAAGACTTACATAAAAGGCAGGTAGAAGATCACAGGCCGGTTTGGCTATGTCGTCCTTTCACAAGATACCGTAAACGTACACTTTTAGCGGCATAATCTATTCGGTACTGTACATGTAAATCATTAATAAATGGAAATGATCTCGAACCGGTTTAGCTAGCTTGAGAGCTAATCTTCCAATGGTCGTTTTGGAGAAGACATGCGCTATGCCATGGTACTTACGTATATATAATGACTCTTGAGTCAGAATGACAGACATGTACGTACATCACGAGTCGCTTACTTTGGTTTTAGGGTCAACCGTGATTCGAATTACATGGATTGCCTTTTCAACTACTGCTGTGAAGTACATTAAGAATAATGTTGTAGTCAGCGCTTTCAAATTGATGGTTATGATATAAGTCGTTA